AGGAACAAAAAAAAAAAAAAAAAAAAAAAAACTCAAAAGAACCCAGAAATAAAATACTAAGGTAAGAACCTAGTACACAGTAGACATTCAATAAGTGTTGGCAATTTTTATTTCCATTATACAAAAAATAAAATGTTTGAATACAAATAGAAGACTAGAAGACAACAAGAATAGTAACAGTATTAGTAAAAATGATAGGATTATGAGGGTTTTTTAAAATCTCATTCTGTGATTTAAAAAAAAAAAAAAAATTATAGGGCTAGAAGGAAGCTCAGTGGTGGAGCACTTACCTAGCATGCACAAGGTACTAGGATCAAAAAAATTTTTTTTCTATTATAAACATATTTTAATTTTATAATCAGGAAAGAAAAACCAATGTTTTATTTAAAGCTGAAAATTTCTGTTAATATTTCTAACATTTTATAAAACATCTTTTGTTGACATTCTACTAATGATACCACCCAATAATGTCCCAATCTTTTCTTCTTGTGAAGACACTTTATATATCTGTAAAAAAATCAAAGACAAATTATGACTTGCTGATCTATTTATGCATGGATTGTTATGCAAATATTTATAAGTGAAATTATCAATTACTGGGTTAATGGTCTGAATTGCAAAACAAATATGATTAAAATATTCAAAGTAGATCATAATTCATATCAAATAGTCCCTTTAAAGTGCAATTATGAACATTAAAAACCAAATTCTCTGCACATAAATTTATCATTTTTAAAAGCACACATCGAGATATTAACTTTATTATGTTTATTTTATTCTAAATGTACTATATAAACTTGATACTTAAAGATATCTACTTACTTATTTGAAGTTGTAAATTATTTCATTAACTACATTTCTAATTATATTTTTATATACACCTATACCTCCCAGTTCTTTTTATCTTTAATTATTTTTCAAGCAACTTTAAAAAACACTCATTACCATTTCCTCTCCTTTTCTTTTTGTGGCGCTGGGGATTGAACCCAGGGCTACACATGCACTAGGCAAGTGCTACACCTCGGGCCTAAATCCCAAGTGCAGCATTTCTCTAATTTAAAAAAAAAAAAAAAAAACTGGTGCACTAGTGATTAATAAACCACATCAGCATTATTCCTCACTTACCACACTCTAAAAATATGGATTTACAAACCTTTTTGACTTCAGAAATATTCGTTATTTCAGGAAGATTTTTCAGAGAAATCTGGTCACCTTCTACTTGAGATATTAGGTATTTTTGATTTACTTGTTTTTCTCCCTCTTCAACGTAAACAATTAAAATTGAAGTATTATCTTCTGAGATACCAAATTTTTTCAAAGCCTCTGAAATCTAAGGAACAAAAAAACAAAACAGGAATGGAATCAGTCTTTCCTATACCTGAAACATCTGACCTGCCTTCTTCTCAGTGAGCTTCTACCTGTTTTTCATATCCTAGTTTTCTCTTCAATAATCCTTCTCTAGCATCTACAGCTACTACCTGTCAGCTTTCTGCTGAAAGTTGCACCTTGTTCTCATGGAATCAGCCCAGACTGTGTTATGCAAACACCATTTCTCCAGCCTTAAGTGACCCTGCAGCCACACATTCCTGTCTTCTGGCCACCCTGGAGCTGTTTGTGTTTCACACTGTTTTGCTGATGCACATGCTTTGTCCCTTGTCCAATCACCTTTCTCTCTATGGCTAGTCTGATCAACACATGCTTCAGGGTCCAGCTCCAAGGCCACCCCCCACTTAACTTCTTAACTTCTGTCTCGCCTGCCTCTCTTCAGGAACATATTTGCTTCTTTTGCCCCTAGAACTATAACTGGAACAGGAATGGTATCTTGAACTGTTTCAAATACTCTCTAAGAAACAATGATTACCTGGCCAAAAAATTTCCAGGTACTAGTACTAGGATGAGACAACTGCATTTTATAAAGTTTGAAATTGTCTATTTTAAACCATGCCACAGCCTTCCCAATTATTCTCTTGATGATACTAGTACCTAATTGTGTTGTTAACAATAGTAGTAATATTAAAATTTCATCAGCAAAATTCCAGTCATTTTTTTCATGGGCTATGTACATGTATTAAGGGCTGTTCTAGGTACCAGCAATGCCCTGGTGCTATATATAAAAAAGATATGCATTTATCCTCAAGGAGTTTACAAAGTGAAAGATGTACATGAACACACAAAATATTTATGCCTAATGTTTTATCATGTGTATTTCTGTCAGTTTCTTAAGCAAACTACTTAAGGGATTTTCCTGACCCTACATGGTTAAGAAGGAAAGATAAAACTAGCCTCACTTAATTTAGCTAAATTTTTTTTTTTACTCATAAAGAAACTGACTTCAGAGCTTATTTGTCTAGTAAGAGGCAGTGCTAAATCTCAACTCTCCAGAACTCTCTTCATGATTACTTTTGTTTATTGGTAGCAAACTGGTTTGTAGGAATTTAGCCTCTGACCCAACACGTGTCAACAGGAAGTCAGTAAATTCCACGTACATTGTTGTTTGGGGAAAGGTTGAAAATAATTTCAGTAGACAGAGTTCTCGTCTTCATTTTTCCCAGTTTGTAGAGGTGAACTGCTTTATTTGCTGCCACAAGTATCTGAAAAGGATCAACAATCTACCAAAAGAATATCAAGAATTACATGGGAGAATCTAGAACACTATGAAAACAGGTGCTTTATCTTATTTTTACTTCATAAGATAAATTCTTAAAACAATTCCTATGGATTATATGGATTATATTTTCAAAATTATTATCTCAAGGGTCAAGGCAGTAAAAAAAAATCTTATAATTTTAAAGTTGTAAGAAACTTAGACAAAGAGTAAACTTTTTTAAAGTAACATGTATTGCAGGCTACTATGAGAAAGGCTGTATTCTAAACATTTTAGCTCTATTATTTTCTTTAATCCTCAAAATATTCAATGAAATCATTATATAATAGATGAGGTAATGAGGGCAAAAAATGCCTGGGTTGAATCTCAGCTCTGTCACTTACCATTTGGGGAACTTAGTTAGGCAAGTTCTTTAGTGTTTTATCTGTCAGAAGCAGAAAATAACAGAACTCACTTCATATGGTTGTTGAAGATTAAGTGAGTCAGAAAGCATTTAGGAATTATGCTAGGAAAAGAGTAAGCACTATGTAAGGTTTGGCTATGACTTGCTCAAAGTCATAGTAAGTGGCAGAGCTCGGATTAAGTCTTGGTAATGTGATCCCAGTGCATGCTCTTAACTACTGTGCTATTCCTCCTCCATAGATACTGCCTTCTTCAGAACCCTCATCTCATAGATGAGAAGCTGGGAACCAATATTTGCCAGACCACAAATGTGATCAGAGCTGGACCACAACCTTTCCTATTTCCTAGGGCAGGGCCCAGTGTTTCTGTCTTCATTCACTGTTCAATTCAAGGTAGTCAAGTCTTACTTGGACAAGACTTTGTACATAAAGATGAAAGAATTTTAGTTTTAACCTATAACATTGTCAAAAAATTAACACATTCTTAAATGTTGGGTATGCCTTCACTCATTCTCACACTTTGTACTTACCACTGAAGGATTTATCAATGCACCATCAATGGTGCCTTCCATGGCCTTTTTTCTCAAGTCTCCAGCATTTTTTACATCTTTAAATAACAGAAGAGTCACTCTGCATTCAGGAAATAGGTCCAGCTGATATGTTAACTGCATTTCAAACAGGATTGTATGCACAAAACCTAAAGGACCAATAGATTTCTTTTATTAAAAGGTAACATTAAAACTCATTTCTTAACAAATATCCTTGCTAACAAATGAAATTAATTTTAAAAGATGACAGAGCTGAGTGCAGTGGTGCCTGTAATCCCAGTGACTCTGGAAGCTGAGGCAGGAGGATCACAAGTTCAAGGCTAGCCTCAGTGATTTAGCAAGCTCTTGTCTCAAAATAAAAAATAAAAAGGACTAAGGATGTTGCTTAGTGGTAAAGTACCCCTGGGTTCAATACCAATACCAAAAATAAAAATAATAAGATGATAAAAACTGTTAAATCTGTCTCCAAAGCACATTTGGCATCCTTGTGAGATGGCTTCCTAACCCTGCTGAGCTGTTTCTAGTCTTTTTTCCACTCCTGAGAAAAAGCCAAGGGAGCTAGTTGGTTCTCTGCCTGTCCGGATGAAAGGCTTGCACATGTGATTAAGAGGCTGTTTCCCAGTAGACTAGGGGCAGAATACCAGGAACTTCTGGACCTCAGGATACTAATGGTATTAATGAAACTTTATTCTACTTCCACTTTTTAAACTTTCTGATCTATTTTATTTGTATTTTAGCAGGACCTGGACACAAATATTAATAAGGAATAAAGTATCACATTTGACCCAAGCTATGAATTTTCATACATGGAAATTAGCAGAGAGGGTATGATTAATAATCAATAATATTCGTCCCTTTTTTAGTCATAAGGTTAACAGGAAAGGACAGGGTATATATAAAGACATAAAAGTATAGGAGCTAGGGATGTGCTCAGGGGTAGAACACTTGCCTAACATGCACAGGCCCAGGGTTTGAGCTCTAGTACCATGAAATAAATAAATGAATAAGAAGCATAAAAGACAACTTAAGTAACTAGAAAAATCTTTTTAACTACATCCTTGAAGGGAAAATTTTAATGATAGTCTGGTGAAGCAATTTACTAGGCTTATTTCATCCTTTTGCTCAGGAGACTCCATTTCTAGGGCTCTTTCTCAATAAATTAATTGGACATTTGAGGATTATATAGTAAGATATCACTCTTATTTTAACAGTGAAAAGTTGAAAACAATCTATTTAGCAAATAGCAGGATTGACTGTAAGTAAACGACAATTAAAAACTACAATCTTGGACTGGGGAGATAGCTCAGTTGGTAGAGTGCTTGCCTTGCATGCACAATGCCTTGGGTTTGATCCCCAGCACCACAAAACAAAACAACAACAAAAAAATCCACTACAATCTTGATGATGTATGCAAACAACAATAATATTAAGTAAAAACACCTTAATGGAAAAACAAAACACCTTTAAAAATCTACACATAAAGAAAACACACCAAAAAGTTTAAAAAGTTATCTCTGATTGCTGAATTACATCTGATTTTTATTGTTATTACAAAGAAAAAAAAGAATATTTGTAAATAATGTCCTGGCATACAGAATTTCAATTTAGTCATGCTAATGTCTACTAAAAAAAAATGGATAACAAAAAAATAATCGGTATGATCCCAATTATATAAGAAGATACACAGTATCCCCCACCAAATAAGAAGAAAAAACATGAAGGAGACATACCAAAGACAGTTTTTCCCCCCCCCTGCAGTCCTGGGGATTGAACCTTGAACCTAGGGACTTGAGACAGCGTCTGGCTAAATTGCTGAGGCTGCTCTCAAATTTGTGATCCTCTCACCTCAGTCTCCAGCAAAGCTGGGATCCCAGGCATGTACCAATGAGTCAGGAAAATACAACCATCTTAGGTACTGAGATTATTAGGTGATTTTTCTGTTCTCTGGAAAACAAAATTGGTTGTGTATGTTCTGAATTTTCTACAGTAAGCACACGAGTACTTATAATCAGGGAGAAAATACATATATTTTCAAATATTTTTAATACTAGGGGTAAAAGAACCCCTGAAAACCCTCAAAATAGTGGAGTGGTGGCACATGCCTATTTCCGAGGCTGAGGCAGGAGGATCACAAATTCAAGTTCAGCATCAGCAACTTAGTGAGAGTGTCTCAAAACAAAACAAACAAAAAAGGACTGGGGGATGTAGCTCAGTGGAAAGAGCCCTCAGGATCAATCTTTAGTACTGGGGGAAAAAAGAAAACCCCAAAATCATTTGTTCTTGTTCACTTACTTAGTCCAGAAACTTTAGAATTATACTTGGAAACTAGAATGGTTTGTTCCCTCTGAAACTCATGTTGAAATTTAATTTCCATTTTTAAAGGGGCGGGACCAGGTGGGACCTTGAGTAGGTGATTAGAACTTTACCCTCATAAATGGATTATCCCACTCAGGTGTTTTATCTCAAAGCCAATTAGGTTAAGTCTCCTCAAGTGCTCCCTTCCTTGCCAGGTGACACTTTTATCAGCAAGACCATCATCAAATGCAGACCCTGGACCTTGGACCAGAATCGTTAACCAAAATAAACCACTTCTCTTTATAACTTACTCCATCTGATGCACTGTGTTACTAGCAACAGAATACAGACTGGGGTAAATACCTCTCACTCAAATTCCGCACCCAATCCTTAAAATCCTTAAATTTTACCTCCTAAACGTAATTTTGTCCCGTCTATTTCTCTTGAATTCCCATTGCCACCACCTCTTATCTACACCAGTAGCCCCTAAGGGTGGTCTCATCAAAATCCCTGCACTTCCATAATCCAAACTTCACCCCCACTCCCAGTCATAGTGATCCTTTCAAAATATCCTGTCGTTATGGTGCCCAGGTGATATGCTAATGCCCAAACTTTATGTCACGGTTTCCTTCCCACCTTCTGCTACCGCCACAATGGCCTCTTCTCAGCTTCCGGACTGTCACCAAGCTTTTAAACAGTTTCCCTCTCTTCCTTCACCATTTTTTCCCCCTCAATCCTTTTCCTTTCCTCCGTCCATCTGCTTGAGGGCCAAGAGCTCCGGGTCTAGGTATCACACGCGCTCCTTCTTATTACGAAGTGCAAGTGCGCCCGGCAGTGACGGCGTTTTTGAGACGGGGTCCTGCCTCGGCCTCCGAACTAGCTGGTTGCCTAACAATTTACGGCTCCCCTATCAGTTTATTTCTTGAGGGAAAGGCTCTCATTTTCCTGCTGCATTCCCAGGGGCTGACTTTGGTAGTTTCGCACTAAATATCGGCTGAGGGAACCACAAGTATCGTCTCAAGACAATCGTCAACAGCTATGCCGGGGATCGAGCCCCAACAACCCGGCGCCCTCGCTACCGAGCAAAACTCACCAGCTGGTCCTGGTCCGACTGGAAAGATCTCCCCCTCGGAAACAAAGCCCTCAACTTCCGGAAGTGCTCCCAATCCCGGCCCTCGCCGAGCCAGTTTCCTGGTAGGTCAGCCTGGGGGCGCCAAGTCTTTCCGGATCCCCAAGGTCATCGCCTTGTTAGTTCCGCCACTGACTCCTCCTCCCAAGTCTGAATCCTTTTAGCCGACACCAGCGAGGACTGGTGGTACTCCGACTTTTTTGGGCGGAGGCGGAAGCTTAGGTCTGGTGTTGAGTATCGGTTTTGTCTTAAACGTGTGTGCTGTTTTCGTTTTAAATTCATTCTGACAAGATTGGCATCCAAATTATGTAAAAAACAATAAGAAAAATAACTTAATGGACAAAATGCCAAAAAACATGAAAAGATTCCCAGCATCATTTGTCCTTGGAGAAATACAAATTAAAAACACAGTGAACTACAAATTAAAAACTACTGCCATGTGTAACTAATTAGAACAAATTAAAAGAAAAAAATAGGAAGGAGACCAGTAGAATACAAGAGGAGATCAGGAGCGGGAGGCGAGGGAAAGGATAGGTAGTGGGGGAATTAAATTAATCAAGCTATACTGTTTTATTGTGTGCGTGTATGAATATATTATAACAAATCCCACTGTTATGTATAATTATAATGCACCAATAAAAAGGAGAAAAAAGATACTATCACACAGACACTCGGTGAATATTACCAAGTGTTGTCATAGATGTAGAACTAGAATATGTTGCTGTTCTGAATGTAAAATGATGTAACTATTTTGAGAAAATTTCAATTTCTTTAAAAAAGTTAAATATTTAACTTAGCATAACCAACATTTCTATTCTGTGGTGTTTACCTAAGAGAAATGAAAATACATCCATGCAAAGGCTGGTTTTGAAAGCAGTTTCACTGTGATACGGTCTATTAGAGATGGATCCAGAATGGGTTCTTGTTCCCCTGTGTTGAAGAATAAACACCCAAGAAATACCAAGGCAAACATAGCAAGCAATTTTTATTTAAGAAAGTGATAGAGGATAGATTCCCTGCCAAGAGGGGGTGACCTTGCCTGTGGGAGGGGATACAACTTTCTTTCTTTTTTTTTTTTTTTACAATTTGTTTTCTTATACACCCCAGCACCCCCCCCCCCCCCCGCCCCCTTTAATCATTGTCTTCTTCCTTCCCCTTGTAAGTGACGGGGAGCAGGAGTGCAGAGGCAGAAGTTGATTGCTCTTTGATAACCAGTTGTCATTCTTTGGACCCTCATCATTCATTACCTACACTGACTGCCTGGCCTTTGTTCAGTTTGCTAAGGAATGTGACAATATCCTGTCTACTTAGGCCAGGCAGGACTGCAGGTGAATTGCTTTTTGGCAAAGAGAGCCCATGGGGGGTCAGTATAGTGGATGCATTTTATAGAATTATTTTGTAAAATTATTCATGTTCTCACAATGCTCATCTATCTGTCCCCTATCAACTCTACATTGGTTACCAAAAAGTCCAGTGGGACAGAACGCCCCCATACAAAATAACTAGGCAGGTAGCACAGAAGCCTGGGATTCAACCTGAGCTGGTCTCCCAAGACTCAGAAAGCTGCCAGGGCAAATAGAATCTTGTCTGCACATACCTTACTTCCACCATAGCTGAGAGACTCCCTCAAAGCAGCCTGCCCTGGGTCTTGTACCCTGACTCCTGGCACCAGGGAAGGGGCAACATGACACACTGGTCTAAAGCATTGAAGGACATTTTGTAATCAGGGGGACTGGAACAAAGCCTGGGCAGTTCTGGCTAATCATTCTAATCTGGCTAGTCACAAGATGCTGCATTCTGTCTCTCTTTCTTTTCTTATTTCCAGTACTGGGGATTGACTCCAGGGGTCCCTTACTACTAAGCCACATCCCCAGTTCTTATAATTTTATATTTTGAGACAGTCTCACTAAGTTGCTGTGTCTGACCTCAAACTTGCAATCTTCCTGCCTCAGCTTCCAGAGTCACTGGGATTCTAGTTATTGAGAACAGAAATGAGAAAGGGTAGAAAACTACCTTGGTCCCAGACCATCTAGAAGACTGTCCTGTTAGTTGTACATGAATGTTCATATCAACATTGCTGTAGTAGCCATAAACTGGTAACAATAAATGCCCAACAACACATTGGTGGACAAATTGTGAAAAATCCATACAATAAAATACTGGTAATAAAAAAGGAATAAACTACAGATACTTCCAATATGGATGAATGTTAAAAAAAAAAAACATGCTGAGCAAAAATGGTGAGAAACTAAAATTAGTATAGAATCCCATTTCTATAAAACTCTAGGAATTACAAATTTATCCTAGAGTTACTGAAAGCAAGTTAATGGTTTTTGGGATGAGGGAATGGGAGATTCTCCCTTTAGAGGAATCTTTAGGCTGAAGCCAATGTGCTGTGTCTTGATGTGGTGTTATAAGGGCATAAGAGTTTTATAAAAATTCATCAAATTATGCAAAGAGTACATTTAAGGGGCTGAGGTTGTGGCTGAGTGGTAGAGCACTTGCCTAGCATGTGTGAGGCACTGGGTTCAATTCTCAGCACCACATATACATAAATGAATAAAATAAAGGTCCATCTAAAAATATATTTTTAAAAAGAGTACATTTTATAGGCTAGAAATTGTAAAATAAAATTGATTTAAAATGTATTTTAAAAGTCTCAGTTTAGGAATAAGAAAGACAGTAGAATGAATCAGACATAACTTTCCTGTGTTCATATATGAATACACAACCAGTGTAACTCCACATCATATAAACCACAAGAATGATTTTATACATACATATACTCCATGTATGTATAATATGTCAAAATATATTCTGTCATGTATATCTAAAAAGAATTTAAAAAATAAAAAAATTAAATGCTGGAATTTCATAGTTCATAGCATCTAGTTTATAGCCATCAATGGCTGGAAATAATTCGCATGTTCATCAAGTGAATGGATAAACAAGTTGTCATATATCCATACAATGGAATACAAGTTAGCAATAAAAGGAATCAACTATTAAAAATGTACAGCATATTAATTTTATCTCTAAAGCTGTTTTTTTAAAGGAGCCTATACTACATCTTTTTATTGGAATAGCACTAAGGACTGATGAGGATGTGAGAAATTTTAACTCTCAAACCTTGTTTATGGGGATACAAAATAATGCAGCCACTTAGGAAAAGTTTGGTAGTTTCTTATAAATATTCCCTTATTCCACAACAGCTGTCTCACTCCAAGAGAAATAAAGATATTCATATAAAAACATATGCAAAAAATGTTAATGGAACCTTTGTTCAAAATTCAAAAACTGTAAACAATCCAAATATCCTTCAACTGGCAAATGGATAAAAAAAATTGTGGCATATTGGGCTGGGGTTGTGACTCAGTAGTAGAGTGCTAGCCTGGCACGCGTGGCACTGGGTTCGATCCCCAGCACCACATCAAAATAAATAAATAAAGGCATTGTGTCCATCTACAACTAAATTTTTTTTTTTTTAAATTGTGGCACATCTATACAATGGAATATTAACTCGGCCACGAAAAGGGAGTGAACATACAATGTCCATACAATGACATGGATGAATCTCAAAAGCAGCAATGCTAAGTAAAAGAAGCCCCATACTAAAAGCTACTTACTCTATATTCCATCTAGATGACATTCTAGAAAAGGTAAAACTATAGGGACAGAAAACAGATCAGCAATTGCCAACTGCTGCAAAGTGGTGTGAAGGAATTTTGAGGGAGTAGTGGAATTGTTCTAATTTTGATTGTAGTGGTGGTTACAAACTGGTATGTAGTTTTCAAAATTCATATAACTATATGGGGCTGAGGTTGTGGCTCAGTGGTAGAGCGCTCACCTAGCACGTGTGAGGTGCTGAGTTTGATCCTAAGCACCACATAAAAATAAAAACAAATAAAAATAAAGGAATTGTGTCCAACTACAACTAAAAAACATTTTTTAAAAATTCATAGAACTATATACTGAAAAGGGATGAATCTTACAGTGTGTGTGTGTGTGTTTTTTTGTTGTTGTTGTTTTTTAGTCATTTCATGATCCCTTTGCCTAAGCTACAGGAAAGAGATATCATTATGCATCATTTGCAAGTTGGTTCAAAAGATCTAATTTATTAAATGAGAACTTCCATAAGAATATCAGCCTTGTTCTCTAATATTTACATAAGTACTTGCATAAATATTTGTAACTTTTACCATGTGTTAAAATGAATCCAAGCTGGTGTCTGCGGGTCACCACTCCTGCTCAGCACCCAGGCCCAGCAAGCTCTGGATCCTGAATGATATGCCACATGGATCCAGGCATCAAGGAAGGCACTGAGACCTAACATGTTGGGGGTTGCATCCACAGTGGCCACTGCTGTCTAGCACTGTGCTGGGCCCCTCCACTTGCCTTAGCTCAAGCGATTCTCTACAAAGCACCCAGCTGTCCCCATTTTCTAGAAGAGGAAATTGATACCCCAGAGAGGACTAACTTGCTAAGGGGCCAAACTAAAATCAGAACCTGGCTCTTCCTTTTCTGGCTCCTCATCTGGACCACTTCCCACCTCTGGTTTTACCTGTTGAACCTGGTTTGTGGGTGAGAGCTGCCCTTTTTATGACTTGCTTTCTCTTGACCCGGGAAGACAACTTGCCAAAAGATCCCAGTTTCCCCAGAGTGTCAGTGCTAGAATTTCTTTACAAGGGTTCTCAACCAATTTTGGGGATGGGTACACACTAGGAGTTTTCTCTTGAACTGTTCAAGGCATAAACTGTGTATTTGGAATGGCTGAAAGGATGAGTGGGGGGCTGATGTAGACTATGGAAGGGGCTAAATACCCACCCAAACCAACCTTGGGTGCCTTGGAGTCACCTGGAAGTTTGAACACAGCCCGGCAAAGGACTGACTGGGGATCATTCATTCCTTTGGGAAAGGCAGACAGGCCAGGAATCTCCTTCACTTCCAGATTTGGTAAGATTAAAGAACCCATCGATTTCCTCACTTCTCTATCCGTGCCCCCAGTCCAACTTCAGGGGAAATCTTCCAGCTCCCCGCCTATAGCATATGGCCTCACTGCAGACCATCTTACACCCCAGAACACAATTGAGATTCATTTGTCTACGCACTCTCTCCTG